CTCTCTAGAGGAGTTGACATACCCCCGGGAAGACCTCTGTGTACCCCCGATGGTATGTGTACCCCTGACTGAGAACCACTGTCCTAAAGGACTTCCTTGGAAGCCATATGCTGACTGAAGTAACCATCTGAATCTCTCTTATCAAGTGTGGAGCTTTCCGCGGCTGGCTATTCAGTCATATGATGTGTGTGTTTACACCTGATTTTCAGTGAGCTCAGGGGGAGTGGAACATGGGGTGTGGTAGGGTGTTAGCATGAGGTAAGCACCATGGATTGGTGCGGGAAGATAGGTAGGTTCTTGTTCTTTAGTACTTGTTCTCTCCATGGCTGTGGGCTGTGGTGGGTCTCATCTTTCTGTATGTTTGCGGGCCAAGTTTAAGAAAACAAGGGGGAAAGCTCTCAGTAGGACTTAAAGAAAAGGGAAAGAAGTAGGTGTGACAGGGCGCTCTTGCTTTGCTGCCGTGGAAGCTGTGTGTCCATCATTTGTCAGAGTTAGCTGGATTCTGCCCACCTGAGGGGACTGAACCTTTCTGTCAGTCGCAGGCTGAATAAGACCCCTCAAGGTTTGCTCTCTTGCCGAGCACCCTGCAGCTCTGAAGGGGCGAGCCGGAGAAGGAAAGAAAGGCTGAGCAGTGGAAGGTGAGTAGTGCTGGCTCTGGGGCTCATTGAGGGCTGTAAGGTTTATTTAGAGGAGTTTCTTTTGAAAACCCTCCCCAGTCTATGCACTGTGGAGTCATCGGCTACTGAACTTGCTTCATCTGAAGTGTCTTCTCCAGCCTCTCTCCCCACATCAATACATCAGCCAAGACTGGTCCTTTTTATTTGTGTTTTCAGTCGTTTACTATCTTGTAATTATGTGTTTAGTTTTTGGTTTGGGCTGTGATTATATTTTAATTCTTTGGGCACTGTCCCAAGCACAATCTCTCTGGGCATTTGTCCTGCGCTCTTTGCATTGGAGTTTGAGTCACGTTGCACGTTTGAAAAGCCAGTACAGGGAAAGGTTTCTGTATATGTCTCCCCATTTCCCCTTTGGTCTGCATGACTTGTTGTGGGAAGATGAGATCATGGAAATGAGTCTGACAGTCCACTTAGATCTGAAGGAGGGTGGTGGTCCTCCTGGTTTCTTTAGGCAATGACCTTCCTTAGTGAGCATGCCCTCAATGAGAATGACTTCACGGTCGTTGCTAGTCCTTTGCAAAGCTCTCATCTCCTTACCAGCAGTAGCTCCAGCTTGGCTGGGTTTGGCTTGAGCCCGCTGCTTTTTGTCTAAGTGCTGAGGTCCTCCAAGCATTGAGAGATCTGGGAGAGGGTGCCGTTCACATTAGCTGGAAAGCGCCGTGCTTCATGTTGTGTGTGTAGTGCTGGCATTTGAGCCCATGTGATTCACAATCCCCAGTTCCTGTGCCCAGGAGCACAACAGAGAAACCTAATTGACATAATCTTCCCTAGCTGCCTCCTACAGCGGTTAAGCAGGATGGGAGAGGTGATGGATCACTGTGGAACTTTACAGGGGAGGCAGAGAAGCTGGTGCCCATCACAGCTCTCTGGCTCTGGTCCAAGCAGAATGATTGTAGCTACCTCAGTGCCTTCCCACAGACCTCAGCTTATGCCCCTAAGACAGGACATCAGCATTTCATTGATTGACACTGAATGACATGAAGAGACCCTGCACTATGAGAATGGATAGATGGCTCGTCTTCATAGCCATTTCTGTACTTTCTCCTGACCTGAAGCCTGACTGGGAAGGCCCAGAGTATTGGACGTATCCAGGTGGAGTTAACAGAGCGCCTTGATGAGTTCTCACTTAGCCTCCTCAGAAGTGAAAGCACAGCTAGTGGGTGGTGCAGGAAACGCGGGCAGCATGGATTGTTTCCCAAGTTCTGGCTGGACTAGGCCATGCTTAAAGGAGGTGCTGTCAGTCTCAGTTGGAAGGGGCCCCATGAGCTCTCCATGCTTTCACCAGACAAGGAGAAGGATCAATCATAGGTGGTGCATGGATTTTCTGCAGTGTTTCTAGGACTTCCAGCTGAGGGATGGTCCAAACTCGGAGGGAGGATGTTATGTTATTGCTCCAATGTCTATGTCTGGAGAGGTCATCCCAGATGTGGGGGAATCTTTTCTGAGAACAGGCTGATTGCATCCTGCAGCCCAGAATCTCTTGCTGCCAGGAGCGTGGAGCCGTTCTGGGTTGGCAGAGTGATTCTTGCTCCAGAAATGTTCGTTGGGGTTTAACTTAGGGGCAGAGGTGCCATGGCAGAGGAGATGGAGGATATTGCCACGGATCCACATGACCCAGCTTTTAAACAGTCTCTTGGAGGAACCTCTTCAGCCCAAAGGATCCCACTCCTCCTTCAGGGTTGGCCACACAGCCTCACCGCCTCCAAGACCGAGCCCCTGGGCTCCAGCACTGCTGTTTCAGACCATGAGCTGTGTCCAGCAAGTCCTATTGAGATACACTCTGTATGCTCTTCAAGGACTACTGCACTTCAGCAGGTATTTGCAGCGACACCAGGCAGCATTTTCAAAACAGAGTAGGGTTTATTAGTCATCTGGAACGCAGCATTGGGAACCCTTAGGTTAGCACAGAGAAATCAAGGTTAAGACATAGTCCATCTGGCCAGACCAGAGCAATCCACCAGCCACGCTGCTCCAGACTTCATTTCATGCTCTCAGTCCCTTTGCCCGTCCACAGGACGAGCTGCCCAGCCTCTCCCAAAAGTGACTCTTTATTCCCTGCCTGGTACCTCTCAGTCCTTCTTCCCTGCTGAGGGTGTGTGTGGGGGAACCTCCTTCCTCTTGGTCATTGGTTGCTAGGTGTGAATGAAGGTTTCCCATTGTCTTCTCAGATTTTCCACTGATACGGATCAGTCTCAGCCAGTCCTTTAATGATCCATTAAGTCTATCCCAGACAGCAGGTGACACACACACCTCATGTCTCCTGCGCTGCCCCAGGAGCAGACTTAACCCTGTAACTCCCATTGGAAAGCAATGCAAAGTACGGAGGAAACTGAGGCACACACAAGATTCATAAAAATATTACAGAAAATTCCCACTTCGTCACAGGCCTCTTGGCCTTTTTCATGGCCAAGGCACTGCTTGTAAAAATTCCATGCACCTGAGTCTCTGCGTTTACTCACGTGTTAAGTTTCTTTCCCTCCAGCTGCTTCTGTTGCAGGTCATGGGAGAACCATAGAGATGTATGGAAGTGAAGAGGGAAGCATTCGTGGCCCAGAAGGGCAGTGACAATGCTTAGCAAGTGGTTGTAGTCCTTCAGGGAACTCTGTACATTCAATCATTGATATTAAACTAAAGTCAATTGTAGATTTATTCGAAGTTTTCCAGCGAGATGGTGCATGTGCATATCCCTTAAATACCCTGAAACATCACAGCGTCTAAGGGGAAATCCTCCACCCAGGCCTGACTCAAGAAGGGAGTGGGTGTGAGTCTCAAACCTGGATTTCGCAGCTTTGCTTCAGTATCAGATTGGAACAATTTACCCGGCGTCCTGATGGATTCTCCGTCACTGACAATTTGTGAATCCAGACTGGATGTTTTTCTAACAGCTCTGCTCTGGGAATGATTGTGGGGCAGGTCTCTGGCCTGTGCTCCAGGAGGTCAGACTGGATGATCACAATGGTCTCTTGGGGCAGTAAAGCTATGAATCAGTGAGTTTTTTCTCAGAGGATTTCTGTGGGTGGTTGTTCTATAGTCCTGTCTCCTGAGCGTCGACTCTTTATTTGATTGATTCCTCCATTCATCTTGATATTTCACATGCATTAATTCCAGGCCTCCTAACCATGGGCAGCGGGAGGCTGAACCTCCCCAAACAGCATCGTGTGGCTCCGCCCACACTCGGCCCCCAGAAATGCCTGTGAGTTTCTGCTCTTTCATGGCCCAGGCTGGGGCTGGGCTCGACGGCCTCCTGACAGGACTTGGGGAGGCCAGGGCTGGTGCCCGCCTGGTTCTCCGTGGCTGGGGTCAGGGGCCCTGTGGCTGCACCGCCTGCTCCATGCTTCAGTGTAGGGGTTGAGGGCACTGTAGCAGCGCCACCCGCCCGGTGCTAGGGGTTGTGGTCGGGGCAGGGGACGGGGGTGTTGTCCTGGGTGGGGGGGCAGTGGCTGCTCTGGGCTCCAGCGGGGAAGGGGGAGGAAGGAGAGGGGCAGGGCCTGGGGCAGAAGGGGAGGGGCCTTGGGCGGAAAGGGAAGGGAAGGGACTAGCTTCCCCCAACTGCCAGTTCACCCGCCGCCCATGCTCCTAACGCATGTTACCATGAGCGCAGGGGACTGGACTAGACGACCTCTCCAGGTCCCTTCCAGTCCTACCCTTCTATGAGTCAATGATTCTACGTACAGTATTTGAGACAAGGATTCAACAGAGACATAGAAATGAGCCCAGTGCCAACGAAGACGTGTCCCCGCTGTCAGGGAACACCCCACTCCACTCCCCCGCTATCCCATGCAGAAGTCTGGGGAAACAGATCGGCCTTGCAGCTAGTCATCAAATAGGGCTCCGGCCAGCCCAGCGGGGAAATAAGCGCAGTCTATGCCCTTTTATCAAGAACAGCCCTATTCTGTGTAAATGGGGCAGCCACCGACTGGAGCCGAGCACAGCTGTCCTGCGATCACACCAGCAGCGGGGCAGGATCTCAAAGGTCAGCAGGGCCCAAACCATTCCCAGTTTCATAGGTTAAACCAATACCTAACACCTCACACAGAAACTAGTGGGCAGCCAGGGTGGATCACAAGCACCACTGGAATGTGCTCCCCGTGGAGGGATCTCCCATCCTAGGTGGACAGATGTGTTTGGAGGTTTATTCAGTTAAACACCCCAGAGGGATGTGCTCCTCCTAAACTCCTCAGCCGGTGGGTGACAGATTTCCACTGGAGGCATCCTGCTTGTTACATTAGGAACTGTTCTCATGAACTCTGTGTTTTCCAGCCCAGGTGCTCTTCCTCCAAGCCTGGACCAAGCCACCGTGCTGGGACAGACGCCTGTGGCAGGATGGCTCGGAAGATGAGTGTCTGTGAGCTGGAGGACCAGCTGCTCTGCCCCATCTGCCTGGAGCTCTTAAAGGAGCCGCTGATGCTCCAGTGCGGGCACTCCTTCTGCAAGTCCTGCGTGGGGTCCCTGGTGTGCAACCTGGACCAGCAGCTCCTGTGCCCCGTGTGCCGCCAAGCTGTGGACTGCAGCACCTTGCTGCCCAACGTCACGCTGGCCTGCGTCATCGACGCGCTGCGGACCCTGGGCGATTCAGATCCCAACCAGGAGTCCTGCCCTGTCCACCACAACCCCCTCAGCCTCTTCTGTGAGCAGGACCAAGAGGTGATCTGTGGGCTGTGCGGCATCATTGGGGCTCACCGTCAGCATAAGATCATGCCAGTCTCTACCGTATACAGCCGGATGAAGGTAAGCGCCTGGCAGCGGGTCATGGGCACTGACTGCGTCATGGCACCTGTTGGGGAAAGACACAGGTGATAAAAGCACGGCCAATGGAGCAGCCCTGATTGGATTGCCAGACCTGCTGTGAGTGTGAGAGAGGGACAAGAGCTCTGGCACAGGTAGTTGAAATAAATCCTGAGCCCGGTGTGGGAACTGGGAGCACACCAAGACGGGGGATCGGGCTCGCTGGGGTTTGTCCCGCAGCCACAGTAACCCACGGGGTCTGAGCACTGCCGTCAGGAGGTGTGACTGCAGCACGAGTAGGCATGATCAAAGCTAGCTCGGATAACAATAGTAACGACACAGCCAGTTGCATGGGCTAGCCCTGCCCATACAGGACCCCGCTGTGCTGCCAGGGGTTCACTGCTATTCTTACTCAAAGTAGCTTTGACCTGGCTAGATCTGAGCCGGCTCGGCTGCGCCTCAGTGTGCCGCGGTCCCACACGCACCCTCGGCGTGAGGCCTCATATCCCATCATCAGTGTGTCCCTGGACCCATCCTGCGTTGAGGCTCAAGTGAACTTTGACCCAGTAGCATTGGAGCAGAGACTCCAACCATTGACACTACTATTGGAAGGATCAATAGACCAGGGAAAAGCTTCTGCAAACCAATTGCTTAGGCCTCTAATTTATTAGCAGAATCTCTGTGCAGCCCTGAGCTGGACTAGAACCTACCATCCCGTTCGGGATGCCCCAGACTTTGGGGAAAGCGAGACCCTGATCACAGCTCAGGCCCGTCTTTAGTATCAATTAAACATCTCAGAGCCCAGCCTGGAAAAGGCCTCCCAGGCTCTGTGCCTGCTCTGTCTCCATGACTCCAGCGCAGATGTGCTCACTGGATGGCCTAGTGATCCGATCGCAGGGCTGGCTCCTCTGTTCCAGCCCCACGGCGGACAGTGACTGGCTCCATCTGTCACCTTGAGCAAATCCTTCAATCTGCTTGGCTTGCTTTCCCGCTCTGGGAACCAGGGATAACAACATTGAGCCAGCTCCCCGGGGCTGCAAGGGTTAATGTTTGCCTGCGAGGGAGTGCAGGAGGCCTGGGAGGGCGGGGATGCTGGAGGTCCTTTCATCTCCACTGTTCAAAGCCCTTTGGAAAAGGTGGGCTGATAAGAGCTGAGATAAGGCAGCAGGGAAGCTAGGCTGCAAGGCAAACAATGGGCTCCAAGCTGTTGATGTAACCAGCACCCAGCAGATCATGTGGCAGCCAGTACATGGAAACGCACAGCCTCAGCCCCTGCTCCCTTCCGCTCCTGACACCAGATAGGGGGTGGGAGGCAAGAGAAGTGTATCCTGCCCGGAGTCGGGGCCCTGTTCAGAAGTGGGGTGTGTCTGGGCTGCAACAGAACTAGAACCTTGACTAGGGCCAACTCTCCTCTCCCTGACTCTAGTAGCGGCTCTAGTTCAGGACCCTGAATGTGCTGAACTGGGATACCTGCTTCAAGGCTTTTCTGGATCCCGGCTGCTCACCCCAGTGAAAATGAGGAATCATAACCAGCATCGGTGCAGAGCATAGGGACGCAGTTACTGCAAAAGAACCCACTCACTGGTGGCATTTGAATCAGTGTCACGCTGGTCACTCTGGCTACACCCCCAAATCGTTCTCCACCCGATCACCCAGAAAGGGCAATGAGCAATGGCCACTGATCAGGTTAGAGGAAGGACACAGGGATTCACGCTATGCTTGCTTTTAACTATTAATAGTTTGGAACAGGGATTAACACTCACACTAAACAAACTGCAAATCAGAGTGAGATAATGGGCCTGCCTACACTGATCCAATCTAACACAGTAGGACTGGAGCGGCCTCAGGAGGTCATCTAGCCCTTCTCCCTGCTCTGAGGCAGGACCAAGTAAACCTAGACCAGCCCTGACCGCTGTTTGCCAGACTTCTTCAAAACCTCCAATGACAGGGATTCCACAACCTCCTCTGGAAGCCGATTCCAGAGCGAACTATCCTTATAGCTAGAAAGTATTTCCTAATAGCTAACCTAAATCTCCCTTGCTGCAGATGAAGCCCATTTAGGGTGACCAGATGTCCCGATTTTATAGGGTCCTTTTCTTACCCCCCACTCCCTGTCCCGATTTTTCACATTTGCTGTCTGATCACCTAAGCCCATTGCCTCTTGTCCTACCTTCAGTGGACACAGAGAATAATTGATCACTGTCCTCTATAACAACCCTGTTGTCAGGTCCCCTGTCAGTCTACTTTTCTCAAGCCTGAACACACCCAACCTTTTTAACCTTTCCTCAGAGGTCAGGTTCTCTAAATCTCTAATCGTTTTTGTTGCTCTCCTCTGGACTTTGTCCACATCTTTCTTAAAGTGTGGCTCCCAAACCTGGACACAGGACTCCAGCTGAGGCCTCACCAGTGCCGAGTAGAGCAGAACAATTACCATCAATGTTTTACGTAGGAAATTTTTGTTAATACACCCCAGACTAATTTTAGCCTTTTTCTCAATTGCATCACATTGGCTTATATTCAATTTGTGGCCCACTGTAACCCCCGATCCTTTTCTGCAGTGCTACCACCCCACCAGTTATTCCCTGTTATTGTGCTAGACAGAACACTTACCAACTAAAACAATATTCGATGTTCAGGGTTTGTCTTGGCCAGGAAAAAAGGTGCTTTTAAAATTGAGTTGGGTAACATGATTTGAAACACCACTTACCACCAAGTGTAGACACAGGTTATTAATATCTTACTATCATGTTAGCTGGTTGTATTGTAACCTAGAATCTTTTCCTAGTCTAGACAGACTCTGTGTAGATAAGTACACCTCTACCCCGATATAACGTGACCCGATATAATACGAATTTGGATATAACGCGGTAAAGCAACGCTCCGGGGCGGCGGGGCTGCGCGCTCCAGCGGATCAAAGTAAGTTCAATATAACGCGGTTTCACCTATAATGCGGTAAGATTTTTTGCCTCCTGAGGACAGCGTTATATCGGGGTAGAGGTGTACTGTCATATTTCACAGCACGTCAGTTGGTCGTGGTTAACTCTGGTGTCCACCCAAAAAAAAAAAAGGAATTTGCAAAATAGGGAAATGTGATTGTTCAACCACAACCATTGGCTGGGAGACTCGGGGGCAGGTGTCATATCTGAAACTGCTTTTAACTCATGTTTTTAAACTGAGGAGGTTTCAAGCTGATGATGTCCTTTTAAATAGGTAGTTTAACATAGTTCTGTTTATGTTGTAAATTGTATCCCATATAACACACAGAACATGCTAAATAGCCCAATGAATGTAGCCCTTGGACCCTAAACTTTTGCATTTCCAGACACTTAGAGTGTTTGTGCAAACTTAACCTTGCAAGAGTTCTGTGGTTTTTGCATTTGCTATACAACACCGGTTCGCTCACCACTCAAATGCCACCACCTCTAGGGTGGAATTCAGCAACTGTTTAACAATGCATAGCAATTTAGATGTCAAATGAGCCCACAGGGAGAATCTTAGATGGACAGAACATAATTACCCAGTTCTGAATTTGGCCCAGCTGCTAGGGTTAACAATAGCGAGGTAACACAACACTAAAGAGGCCTAGAGGTGAGCTCAGGCAGGATGGAAAAAGAATGATAAATGAATTCCCCATGGAGCCTAGGAGAACGTGGTCTCGTCGTGCCCTGTAGTCCATGGGGGGGAGCCAGTGATCAAGGGAACATGAAGTATGACTGACCCCAGCAGAGCTAGTTCCCTTCAAGGCCAGGCTGGCCTGCACAGATGGGGGGGTGTGGGGCCCAGAGCCAAACCCCGTCAGGTGACCGCAACCTGGCTACTCCCTTGGGTACAATAGAGACTCCAGACTAACAGGAGGATGTTCTGCCTTCGCAGGAGGAGCTGTCAGTGCTAATAACGGAGGTCCAGCAACACAAGAGGAAGCTGGATGAACACATCAGCAAGCTGGTTAACAATAAAACCCGGATCGCAGTGAGTGCAGGGAGCTGTGAGAGGAGCCCATGCCTGGGAATCTCCTGGGGCCCACCCCGGGAGCAGCCCCAGTTGCGATTACTGCTCCCGGTTGGCTAAGGATTGCACACATCCTATTAGTTGTCTTACGCCGTCTTTCCCACCCCGGCCAGCTTGTTTCTCATCCCCCTGCAATGTCTCGTTTTAGCCTGTAAGCTCCTCACGGCAGGGACTGTCATTGCTATCTGTTTGTACAGCGCCCTGCACAGTGGACCCTGGTCTGATTGGCCATTAGGCACTCCAGCCATATCAATGTTAAATAATAATAAAATCCCAGAGTGCCCTCTGCCCCACACCGGGAGGGGTTCTCCCATCCCTCCCAGAGTCCCAGCCCACCAATCCACACCATGCCAGAGCCTCCTTGGTCCCATGTCCTCTGCCTGCTGGGCGAGAGGCAAGTGACTAAGTGTCTTGCTTCCCGGGGCTGGGCTAGGGTTACCCGGGGCTGCCCCAGCCCAGGGGGAAGGAGTAGATGACCTCCTGAGATCCCTTCCAGCCCTACAGTTTGACACTTGCTTTCTGTTGCTAGCAGAGGAGGGGGGTTGTTGTTCTTCACAAAGTGTGGTCTAAAAATAGCCCTGCTTTTCAAAGGGGTGAGAGGGGCATCTCTCGTGGCTCTGAACCTCCTGGCAGGCGTACAGACAGGCTGGGCAAGTCATTGTTCAGAGCTGGTTTGACCCAGTGTCCTTGAAAGTGAGATAACCAGTGTAAAATATCCTGGCCAGAACGAGCTCTCCAACAAGATCAATACTGATAGCTTGAGGGCATGTTTGCCCTGCCAGGGGAAGTCAGCTCTGGGCTGATTTCCATGGTCTAAGCAGTAGGAGTGGCCACAAAACAAGAGCTCCATTTTGTGAAAAAAATAAATGGCAGTTTCTGCATTTGGTTTCATTCTGTTTCGGGACAAAACCAAGGCAAGGAACTTCCAAAAAATGTCACGAAGAAAGAGAGATCCACTGACCCCAGAATAGCCACTAGCCGTTCGCCTGGGTCTCCCACATGCAGGTGAGGGATCTAGCCACTGGGCTCTTCTGGAGGGCGTGTGCCCTGCTGTAGAAGGCAGGTGGGCTGCAGTTGGCCCATGGTCTGCACTGGGCATAACACCCTATAAGCCAGTGGAATGACTGAGTTGTGCTAAGCAGGGAGCGGGCAAGGCCACCCCGCGCCTTGTCCTGGTATTTTCCTCTGGCTCCTAGAACATGCTGTCTCCCTGCAGAATGAGTCCGACGTCTTCAAGTGGGTGATCCGGAAGGAGTTCCAGGAATTGCACCGATACATTGACGAGGAGAAGGCCAGCTTCCTGGGGAGCATTGAGAGGAAGGCTGGCCACCTCATTGCCTCCATTGAGTCCCAGGTCACGCAGACGTCAGACGCCCTGCACAAGCTGCAGGAGATGGAGAGCTCGCTGGAGAAACTCAACAATGAAAGTCAGCTGGATTTCATCCGGGTGAGTCTGTCTGCCAGGGGAATGACCATGGAAACTCTGGAGAGGAGACGGCCCTATACCCCACAAGGCAACCTGGGAAACAGATAGATGCACCCCATGCACCCTGCGGGGAGAGCAGACAGCCAGATCTCCCCATGTCCCCTCCCTGGGAAGCAGAAAGCCAGATTTCCCCCAGGAGAGGGGAGAGCCAGGTACCTCCATGCAGCCGCCTTGGAGAGCCAAGAGACGGGCACTGTGCCATGCCTGCCCATGGCGGAGTAGCCTAGACAAACTGTGGCTCTATGGCACCCTCTCCAGCCTCTCTCCACCTGGCAGTTGATTCCTCCCATCCCTGTGCCCTCAGCCCCATCCTGGCTGCCAGAGACACCCTGTCCCCAGTCTGTGCGGCTTCCACTGACCCTCCCTGCACGGGCGGGAAGCGGAGGTGGCAGTGAGAGGAGCCCTTTGCTGGTGCCAAGGTCAGATGGAGAGTGGGTGAGAGTGCTGGCCAGGAATCCTCTGCAGCGTTCCCCGGGGCTGAGGCTGTCAGCGCTAACTCTGCCTTTGCGTGTGTTGTGTTTTACAGAACTACGGCTCATTCCCCTCCAGGTGAGCACTTACCCTCCGCCCTTGGGACCCTCCTTCGAGCCATTGGGCAGCCAGGATGGCTAGAACCCACCAAGGGGAAATGTTTCCTAGGAGTGGTTACGGCGAGGGCCCTTTCATGGGGGGAGCAGGAGGCATTGAGGGCTTGACCCCAACTCTAGTGGTGAGCAAGGACTGTGCCCATGCCAGCTGCAGTTGGCACCCCTTCTCCATGCCAGTGGTGCGGCAGCATCTCCAGTGCTGCTGGGAGCAGCCTGGCAGTGAGGCACCAGGCTTTCTGCTCCCGTGGTCTCCACTTTCCTAGAGAGGAGTGACGTAGTGCCCACACCCCCTCCATCTGGCACGGCTTAGTGCCCATGCCCTGGGGGCTGCCGAGCACCCACTGCCCGGCGTCCAGCTCACAGATGGAGGCTAGAGCAGCCAGAGAGACTCTGAGTTCTGCCAGATGTGGGCAACGGGGAGAGAAGCAGGGCCCGGAAATGTTCTCACTAAACCCCACTGCATGGGAGTGTCTTTCCCTCCAGGTCAGAGTTTCTCCCCCAGCACCCGGCTGAAGGGACCTTCAGCGCCATCTCCTTTAAGCCAGGTTTCCACCAAGATGACATCAAGATGACAGTATGGAAACGTCTGCTCCGCAGAGTCCTGCCAGGTACTGCACGGCCCACAGTAAGTCCCCTGCAGCGTGTTCAGGGTACGCGTGTACCTACGGTCAAGTGCATATGCTCCCTCTGGCATGCACCACGCTGTCCGACACACGCAGGGCTGCTCAGGCATGCACCACGCTGTCCAACACACGCAGGGCTGCTCAGGCATGCACCACGTGAAGCTTTGCATGGGTCACTCTCCTGGCTATGCGAGAGCCGAGGCGGGGTGCTGCCTGGGGACAAGACCAGCTCTACTGGATCTGCGCATTAGGCTGCTCGGGGCTCTCCCAGGGTTCCTTGCACCTGGCCAGGCCTGCCTCTCTGCTCAGGGCTCTCCTGGTCCTGGTCCAACCCACACAGCTGCTCAGGGTTCACCTGGGCCCAGCCGCTTGGGTCTGCCGTCCTGTAGTTCTTCTGATTGCCATGTGTTTCCTTAGCCCCAGAGACGCTGAAGCTGGACCCGGTGACAGGACACCCGCTGCTGGAGCTGACCAAGGACAACACCGTGGTGCAAAGCAAGCTCCTCTACCAGCGCCGGGGCAGCATCCCTGAGCGCTTTGACTCCAGCAACTGCATCCTGGCCAACAAGGGCTTCTCCTGGGGCAAGCACTACTGGGAGGTGATCGTAGGCACCAAGAGCCACTGGCGCCTGGGCATCATCAAGGGCACAGCTAGCCGCAAGGGCAAGCTGCACAAGTCTCCCGAGCACGGCGTGTGGCTCATCGGCCTGAAGGAAGGAAAGGTCTACGAGGCCTTCAACAACCCCCGCACCGTGCTGCCGCTCACGGCCCGGCCCCAGCGCATCGGCGTCTACCTGCACTACGAGAAGGGCGAGCTGACCTTCTACAACGCCGACAGCCCCGACGAGCTCATCCCCATCTACACCTTCCAGGCGGAGTTCCAGGGCAAGCTCTACCCCATCCTAGACATGTGCTGGCACGAGCGGGGCACCAACGCCCTGCCCATTGTGTTGCCCACGCCCGCCATGATTCGAGACACACAGGCTCCCGACAGCAGCCTGGACCCACCGGAGCCCACAAAGCTCTAGATCTCCACCCAGAGCCCCCCACCCTCCCCACCGTTTGGGGATTGTTAGAGCTCTCTGAGCTGTGCTGCCCAGCTGGGGAGGGCTCTGCCATTCAAGCCTCAGGGTTGGGAAAACAGGATCTTTATCCCTTAAGAGCAGAGATGGGCATGAACCAAACCAGCCTCCCACCCCCACTCTCGGAGGAATTTGGACCTGATCGCTGCCATTTGGACCCATCCCCACGGCTGTTTTCCACCTGTCTCTGCCGCCTATTCCCCATCCAGACTCCTGTGTGCGGCACCATAATGACTGCTGGGGACTGATGCCTGCGTCTCAGGCTGAGGGTCATGCCGGAGCAGCGGGCACAGAGAGAAGTATCCTGCACCCATGCACAGGGCCCCAGCTGTGCAGAATTAGAGAGGATGAGACAGAATCCAACCAGCCAAGACAGAATTGTCTCCGTCAGTGGTCAGAGCTTTGCATGGAGTGTCAGCTGCTCCTTAAACAAACCTGTTCTCCCTCCCCAACCCGACTGTTCCCCTTATCACAGTGTACCAAGGCCCACATGCATATGTCCTTGTATAGCCTCTAGGATCTCCCAAGTCCACTACTCAACCCAGGCGCCCTTTAGCTCATGCTTTCAAATCAAGAGCCCCGAGTTCATTCCGTCCCAGGTGACCTGACGTGGGGCATCACTGCACATCGCTTAGCGGCTGGCTGGCATTAAACAGCCACCCAGCATTAGTATGGGTTGCCTATGTGCCCTTGCTAGGGAGGCTTTCCCCAAACATCAGAAATCCACAGTGGGGCAGATCCCCCTGTGTGTCTGCAGGGAGTGAATCTGGTGTGATGGATTAGTTAAGTCTGTACATGTCTAAATCAAACTACAAACACCATCTTATGAATGCCATTTTGAGAGTAAACGTATCTTCACTGTTGTCTTTTTATCTGCGTCTTGGACTGGGATTGCTGGAAGTGTTAGCACATGGCTAACACAGAGCAACAAGAGTGGTTAACCTGGTGGTTCTCCCATCAAATGGAAGCACCCTAGGATAGCAAGCAGCCTACTTCTTAGGGGAACCAGAGCTCCCAGGTGGGCTTGTAATCAAGTAATGTATCAACTGACAGGGACTTGAAGCCACTGAGGAGAGTCACCTGATGGGGGGCACTGGGACATTACAAAAGGAAGCCTCTCCCATCAGCAATTTCTGAGAGGCTATCAGGCCCAGAAGGCAAGGCTGTACAGGGAGTGGCAGGTAGGGGAGCGAAGGAAAGGAGGGTCCTGGGACCCTGAAAGGAATGATCAAAACCCAAAGAGCTCTGTGAGTGGTGTGAACACTGGGGAAAAAATTCTGCTTGTAGGTTTGTGTTAGTTTCCATAGATCTGTAGATGTCTAGTGCTTTATCTGTGAGTAAAAGGTGATTGATTTAGAAATTCCTTTGTGTCCCTTGTGTTCACTGTCACATAGTCCCTGAAGGGGGAAACAGTCATCCACAGGGTCCCCAACTTCAGAGGAACTCGGGGAACATGCAACAACATCAGTGGGACAAATGGAAGATGCAAGGGCCTAGCGAATGACATAATCATCAGTGTGGCACTGCTCAGACGGAGGATGAAATATGTCACAAGTTTGTCATAGAAATCAGGTGGTGGTGATGGGAATATTCCAGCCTAGTTTTTTTTCCCCCACCTCGGATTTCTATGGTAACAAGCTTGTCATGTGTTTCAGTCCCAGCCCTAGACCTGACATAGAATTGCTTTTACAGAACATTCACAAGTGCTTTTACCCAGCCATTAATGGGTAAATGATGGGGTGCCACAACTTCCCTGGAGGAAGCTGTTCCATGCTAGACACATCTCACTGTCAGGAAGGTTTTTGTGATATTAAGCCTCAATTCTCCTTCCTTTTGTCCCATCCTTTCTACATACAGGGCCTTGTGCCACTCTCCATCTTTGGTGTTTGGACTTCAAATCCTCGCAGAGGACGATCGTATTTCTCATTGGCGGCATAGCCAAGCTATAAGCATTTATTCTCTCTGACACAGTAAGTGCCACCAGCTGAGGCGGAGAGGCTAGGCAGAGACCAACCCTGAGACTGAGGTTAGTGGGTTAACTCGGCCCAGCACAGTCTACTTGTCCTGCAGAAGGGAGTTTGTTTGGAGAGCTGAGGGAGAGCCAAAGGGGATTAGTGTTTGGAGAGAAGCTAATTAACCTCTCTGTCCTCTGTCCTTGCTGCCTGACTTCCCTCGAAGGTGTCTTTGGAGGTGGGAAGGAGGTGGGGACCTCTGCCTGCTGTTCCAATAGCCACCGTCACCCCTCAGGTGTTGCTGGGGAGAAGCATTAGCCCCCATTTCTGCTGTCTAAATTGAGGCCGCCAGCGCGTGTGAAGCATGTTCGCAGCAGGGCTGGTGGAATTAAATCTGACCCCACCCCACACACTCCTCCTGGGTACTGGGCCTGCCTGGCACTGGGGGACCCCAATCCCCTCCGGGTACATGGGCCTGCCCAACATTGAGGAATACCAGCCCCCCTGGGTATCAAACCCCAACCACCACCACCCCAGGTACCTGAGCCTGGCAGCACTGAGGGACCCCAACCCACCCCGCTGGCGTACCCTGGGCCTGCCCAACACTGAGGAATACCAGCCCCCCGGGTACCAAACCCCAACCCCCCCAGGGTACCTGGGCCAGCCCAGCACTGGGGGACCCCAATCCCCCCGGGGTACCTGGGGTGCCCAGGACTGAGGGGTGGGGGTCCTGACTAACCCAGCCCTTCCCTCTCAGGGCAGTGACTACTCCCAAGATCCTACCCCCGCCCCAACCCTGAGCATGGGGGCAGGGGCACTGCCCCCAGGGGGCTCTGATCTCCCTCCCTGCCTAGGCAGCTTAGAGAAGCCTGTTTCTCCCTTCCCGGCTGCAGCCTCCTGCCCCCCACCCCATGGCTCTGGGCACTGTGTGTATGTGTGTGTGTGGGGGGGTGACTGCCCCTCACACAGCCACACCCCCCAGCACAGCTTCCCCCCACTTTCCCCCCTGCTCCATGGGAAGCCTCCCATTGGAGGAAACTCCTGTCAGGCACTCAGGGCAGCTTCTTGTTGGTTGAAATGTCCCAACCTGGGACTCATTCCCTCCCCCTTCCCTAGGGCTCCTGTCTTAGCCTCCCCCATTCCCTCCCATCTCTCCCAGCCCCCACACCAGTGGCTCCCCATTCCCTGGGGGGGGAGGGGAAGGCAGGTAATTTCCCCTGGTGGCAAAGCCTGTCTCCTCCTGACCTTCCCCTTCTGCCCCTGCCCCCAGCTGAGGCCAGGCTGCCCTTATGCCCTCTGCAACACAACAGTCCCCTCCCATCCCCACCTCCCAGACCCTAGCAGCAGGCCCTCCAGCGCTCTCCTTCTAGCCCAGGATGTCCCATCCTCTCCACCCACCCCCAAACAGGTAGGCTCCAGTGCCTGCCCCCTACACCTCTCCTACTCCTTCCCCTGCCTTTCCACTTCCCTGGATTACATACCCCACCCCCCTTATCACAGGGATGGGGGCCGGCCATGGCGGCTTGCTTCTGCAGGGAGTGGGATTTCACCTCGGTCCAGGGGCTGGAACTGCCAACAGCTGAGCCAGGGTAACTGAGCCACCTGCAGCGTCTCACCTCACCACAAGGAGCCTGGAAAAAATGGACCCAAATCACAACACAAGAATAGTGCGAATCCTGGCAGCGCTGCTCAGAGTTAATGGGTCCTTCCCTCAACCCCCTGCTGATGCCTTGTGCCCCTGCCCTTTGGTGTGGCAATACCCCTGCACTCTCTCCTTCATGGGGCATCAGTGACCCAGCGTCACAGGGGCACCGTTGTCGCTCATTCTTTAGCTCCCTTATTTCCTGCATTCCTGGCTCCCAGGCGTGTTCCTGACAAACGCAGGCACAGAATATCCATTGGATTTGGATCGACACAAGATTTCGCTGCTCCTGCGGCTGCTGCCACGTTCAGGCTTCAGATACATGGGGAGCTGTAAGGCCGGGCCCAGCCAGCTGGATTTGGGTCACATTATACTCACTAGGGCTCTATGGGGAAGAGCTGGGGCACCCCTGTTTCAGTCCCCGGGTGATACAAATGTGATCCCCAAAACGTCTTCCTGTGGCAGCATCAAACTATTGCTGTGACGCCACGAGATGACATGTCCTCGAAACCCAGCGCGATGCCGCATGGGAGGGGTCATGCGGTCATCACCACATAGTGGGGAGGAAGTGGCATCAAAATTCCACAGCAATAAGGCAGCAAGTCCAGGTGCCAAAATGTCACTCTGCCACGGTGGGATCAACACAGCAAATGCGGAGTCAATACTGTAAACAGCACCCCGAGATCCAGCCAGCACATTCCACCCTGCCTCAGAGCCCGTGAGACTGGAGCCAGGGCAAAGGGTGACAGCGTCGCGACAACGGGAGCTCACAGTATGTGGCCAGCCTGGATTCCAAACCTGACCACGGCACGCTCCCTAAGGAGGAGGGTAGGGGAACTGGAAAAGGAACAAGTCCCCATTTAAACCCCAGCCCCAGCCCTGCGCACAGGCCTGGAACATGGGTCAGCAGGGCCAGCCTGACTCAGTGGCTCACGTGCTCGATTGCTTTGGCCTAAATCCTAGATGTAGTAGGAAGAGAGCCTGACAAACGCCCTTGTATCAGAGGCCTGGTATGAGGCAGGACCTGCTCACAGAATTTGGCAAGAACAGGGCTGATATTGCAGCAATACACGTTCCTAAGAAGTGCCAGTCACAGAGTGCTCACACAAACACATCCCGATATCCAGTGGTACCAGAACATCCCGATATCAAGGATGGTACAAAACCATTCCCCAAGGATAACAGGAACACACTGACCCCTCCTAAAAGATAAGGTCAGGAAGACAGTACATAATAAAGATGTTTGATCGAACCAACATGTACAAGGTAATGGGTAAGAACTAGCCACATCGGGGACGGTAACTAACTATGTCAGAGGGGCAGTACTAACTTATTTGTATTGGGGTATAAAGATGTATATCAGAGGGAGTATCTTTGTCTGGCCTTAGAGAGGAACGGAAAGTCCCGCCGTTCACTGAGCTGGTACATTATTACAGGCATACATGTATTAGTGGTCCGGTAGAGTCTGCGGGATACTAATACCAGGCTTTGTCAACAATAAACCTGGCTGGATGCCTTCGTACCTTAACGGATCTTGTGGTCATTGGGTGATTCGCTCGAAGTCTGCCGTGCCAGCTGTCTGCGCAGGACTGGGGCAGCACACAGAGGGAACACGCACACACAGCCAAACATCTATCAACATCTAATCACACTGGAGAACAGCTTACATCTGTTTGCTTTGCAGTAAATTGCTTTCTCAACAGCTGGAGCATCCAATCCATATTGTTCCTGAGTGCAGGGATTGTGGCACAGCCTGTTCCCTCCCACCCCCGCAGCAGGGTAACTGCATGTAGCTTTATTTTTAACCAGACTTTTCTGTAGCCTTGGATGGTAGACTGGGGCTCAGGGCACGTCTTGGAGTGCATATATTATCAGTCTGCAGGAAGGTCCTTCCCAGTCCCACTCAATGACCGGACACCTCCCAGACACCTGCAATAAACTCCCCCAGGGCTGCCGCCGCAGTGGTTGGCTGAACCAATGATTGTGCCGGAAACACACTGTAAGGGGAAAGCACTGTCTGCCAAAGCTTTGAACCTGAGCAGAGCCCAGTCTCACGTGGGGAGTGACTACTCACATCCCTACAGCTTCGCTCCATGATCCAGCTGCAATATTCAGGTGTGGTTCCTTTTCCAAGCTGCCTCCTCCGCTGCACTGAACGGTCTATGATATCTGGACTGTTGAACAGCTGTGGCTCCTTAATTCTCTAGCCTGGGGTACCTTTTATACTGCTGTGCTGTCAGAACAGCTGTTCCTGTTTACATCTCCCCTGTTTCTTATTTACATCCCCCCATCACGTAATTCACCAGAACACTAATGTTCAGTAGATTATGGGTTTTCAAATGATACCTCACAAGGCTTACTTTGCACAACATTTATTACAGTCTTGTAAAAGTAGTGACCATAATAGTACAGACCATCACACAGTCCTGTGAGCCCATTAGAGAGGCATCATACAATGGCTTTTTAGCTTATTGTTTTGAAAGTTAAAGGTCACCAAGGCCCTGTTGTTGGGGCAAACCAAGGCCAGACTCTCGTGTACTCTTGGAAGTTTAATGTCTCTGCAGAAGAATAACATGCAAAGACCACCGCAGGCTGGGACCTAGAATACAAGGTCTCCCAGGAAGTGACTGCCTAGGAAGGAGTACTGAGGAAAGGGATCTGGGAGTCATAGTGGATCACAAGCTAAATATGAGTCAACTGTGTAACAAAATCGCAAAAAAATCAAACCGTTCTGGGATGTATTAGCAGGAGTGTTGTAAGCAAGACAGGAGAAGTAATTCTTCGCTCTACTCGGCGCTGATACGGCCTCAGCTGGAGTATTGTGTCCAGTTCTGGGCACCACATTTTGGGAAAGATGTGGACAAATTGGAGAAAGTCCAGAGGAGAGCAACAAAAATGATTAAAGTGCTAGTGTGACAGTCAGCAGCGACCCCGCCCCCCCCTTAACAGCTAGCAGTCGTTATGGCAGCCAGCGGCCATTAGGGGGAAGCAGACACCTCAAGTACACAGTAGCCTGAACTGTTCAACTGTCTTCCCTTTCAAGGCCTTGAGGTAGTTGGAGCTGGTCCCAAACTGGTTTTCACTGACCAAATAGCAGAAGTACAGGGTCTGTTAACCACCAATCAAATGTTAACACAACCAGGGCCTGTGTTTAAGTGTATAAAAAATCTTTAGCTTTTGTATAAGTTAAAGTTTTTGTACCAAGGTGCAAAGCTCTCCTTTCCTCTGCAGAAAAAAGCAACCTTTTCCTTATCCCTGTCTGGCTGTTACTGGCTCTCAGCTAGGTGGACCCGACATTTCGGTAACACTAGAAAACATGACCTATGAGGGAAGATTGAAAAATTGGGTTGTTTAGTCTGGAAAAGAGAAGACTGAGGGGGGACATGATAACAGTTTTCAAGTACATAAAAATTGTTACAAGGAGGAGGGAGAAAAATTGTTCTTGTTAAATTTTGAGGATAGGACAAGCAATGGGCTTAAACTGCAGCCAGGGAAGTTTAGGTTGGACACTAGGGAAAACTTCCTGTCTTGGTAGTTAAGCACAGGAACAAATTGCCACGGTTGGTGGTGGAATCTCGACACTGGAGGTTTTTAAGAGCAGGTTGCACAAACACCTGTCAGGGATGGTCTAGAATAATACTAAGTCCTGTCTGGAGTGCAGGGGACTGGACTAGATGATCTCTCGAGGTCCCTTCCAGTCCTACCCTTCTTTAGCCGGAAGGAGCAGGCTGCTGCTCTCGCTGTGAGCCAGCCACAGGGACAGATGCGGACAGAGAGCCAGGGTTACATGCAGCACCTAACACTAGCCTTTTCCAGGTCAAAATGTCCCCTAGGCCCTAAGGGCCGTGAAGCTCGCTTCTCTCTCCAACACAGCAGAGCAAGGCAGTGCTGGTGGCCTCTGCTAACCTCTGGTAGCCTGATAGGGTGGGAGTAGCTGGGAGACAGTGTGGGAGAGGGGAGGCTGAGAGAGTCTCTTTAGAGGGGTTTGGGGTTTAAAAGAACAGCCTCAAAGGAGCTTTTATCAGGTCAAATAAGCAAACCCTGGAGCCTGGAAGTAGGAAAGAATCCCCCTATGGAATTCCATGGCGCTCCCCCACGCAACAGCACTGTCCTACCCGGAGCAGCATTTCAGAGGCCATGGCAGGAGCTGGACTTCACCCAGGGGAGCAGGGAAAGGTAAGGGAGGAGGGAAACTCTCTAGATAAAAAGCCTGGGCCTAATCACAACCTCCTCTCCTGGCACAGGCCGGCCTGCGACTCCCCTGGCCAATAGCACCACCCAGCCGCCATCTCACCCCATGGGCATTTAATTGTGCCGGGGGATATTCCCCATCGTTCCCATATTTATGGCCCCTGCGCCTTCAGCAGCCCAGTCTGTGAGCTGCCCACGCTCCCAGCTCCTGCTGACTTGGGGCTGGGACTGTCTGGGGCCCTGGACTCAGACATAGCAAAGCCCAGACCACAGCTGGAAAGGCACAGAATTTATACACATATATACACATCAATGTCCAGAGCCCCTTGAGTGAGGGGAACGTGGCTCCAAAGGCCCCGATCCTCTGCTCTGACAGCAGCACCCATCTCCTTCCGACATCAGCTGCTGGAGACGCTCTCTGACTCTGCAGTGTCGAGGGGCCCTGCCGGGGGTCTCCGCTTCCCCTTCCTCCTGAAGAGCTTCCCCACAAAGAGCAGCCTCCCTTGGCCTCTGGGGGCCGTGTGGCTGGGACCTGGCTCCTGCAGGGCGACCCGCTGCTTCTGGCTGATGGTGCTGACGGCTTCTGCCGCAGCAATCTCGACAGCAGTGCTGGGGTCACCATGCAGCGCTCGGAGAGCTGGGGGGAGGAAGAGAAACCCCTTTGGGATGAGATACCTGCACCATGCAGCAACACAGATCCCTGGGGCAAGGACCACACTGACGATGGGCTGAGCCCCCAGCACGCGGACCAGGCACTGATAGCACCAGGGGCATTTCCCTCAGTCCTGGGTCTGTTTGTGTGTGCATTGGCAGCGCCTGCCCAGCTCACTGGCGTCGCTTGCTGAGGCTGGACACACTGTCCCACTGGGAGTGGGGGTTTGGCCCCCACTGCCCAGCCCGTGTGCTTCCAGCCACGCTCACCTGCCATGACCCAAGGCCATTGTTCCCCATTCACTCTGCTGCAAGTGGCCCTCGGCATCAGCAGTTCTCATGGCGTTTGCCCCCTCTGCTCTGTGCCAGCTGGATGGGCCCTGGTGGGTGGCTCCTTGGGCTGGAACTTTCTTTCTTTTCTTTTCATGGAGATATCCCATCTCCTAGAACTGGAAGGGACCTTGAAAGGTCATCAAGTCCAGCCCCCTGCCTTCACTAGCAGGACCAAGGACTGATTTTGCCCCAGATCCCTAAGTGGCCCCCCAAGGATTGAACTCACAACCCTGGGTTTAACAGGCTAGTGCTCAAACCACTGAGCTATCCCTCCCCCCATGCTGGCTGGGGGTGGCCTGGGGAACTTACAGCACAGAAGCGTTCCCAGATCCAGCTGCTGGACATGCTGGGCCTCCATGTTCTCTGCAAGGATCCCTGGAGACACAGAGGAGCATGTTGTCCCAGGGCACTGCAAGGCAGGGTGGGTTCCTGACACCTTGCACCCAGGCCCTAGGCTTTGGTCCAGGGGCTCACGAGAATGGCTGTTCTCATGAGACTGTCTGGACCAGAACCATAACATGGCACCTCCTGGGGCTGGAGACAGCCTGGGCCCAAGCCACAGGGGCCGATTCAGAGCCAGGGGTTCAAATCAGACCCTCCCACGGCATTCAAAAGGGGTCAGATGAATGGCTCTGTCTTGGGCCCGTCTCCCGGCTTTCCCTGGAGTCACACCACCACCCTCGTGGGCCGGGCTCCGGAGGGGCAGGGTCACTCCACCCTGTTCCCTGTCGCCATCGGGGTGCTGATCACTGGGCACCGTCTCACCTGCCAGCTTGGCTGCTGCCAGTCTGATCCCCTCCCAGCGGCTGTGGAGGTGCAGGCTGGTCTCAGTGACGAGACTCTCCAGCAGCGCAGGGTCCTTCTGGGCCTAGGAGGGACCAGCGACAGAGATGGCATGAGCTCCTCCTGACCTAGAGACGTCACCACCCGCTCACCATAGCCTGATCCTGGGAATGAGGGGGAGAGGCGGGGGCTGGGGAAATCAGACCAAACCCCGCCTGGGGCTGGGGAGGCTAAATCCTAAACGACAGAGCGGTAGAGCCCTGAGCTACCATGACACAGGGATGTGCCCAGAGCCTGCCTCTCGGAGCTGCTCCTGGGGCCCTTAGCAAGGGCATGAGCAGGAGGGAGGAAGGGGTCAGCCTGGGCCCCCATGGGCTACCCTGCTCTGGGGTCTAAAGCAGTCACAGAGAATGGCCCAGCCTCAGCAGCTCTCACCAGCTGTTTGCAGACGTGTCCCATCAAGTGTCTGTGCCTCTCCCCGGAGGCGCCTGTCAGGAGCCCACTGTCAAAGGCTCCCTCGAGCCCCGTGAGGCCTAGGAACGGGGCGCACGCCTGGAAGGCAGTGTAGCAGGCCTGGAAACAGAGAGGGGGTGAATCAGGGCCCCATCCACAGGGACAGAGCTCTCCACTGCCCAGCCGATTCCAGACAGTGGGTGTGGGGACCCTGCTGGGACGGGGATCGGGTACACAAGGGGGGTCCGCTACACAGTGACCCCTGCACAACCCCCTTGGGAGGGGGTCACTCACCCCACCCTAGCATGGACGGGGCTAAGGAGCTGCCCTGGGCTGGAGAGGCCCAGCCCCCACACTGGCACATCATGGGTGGAGTAACTGGACTCCCGCATGTGCACTCCCATGTAGCCTAAAGGGGGTGCCCCACCATGGACAGACTTGTGACACCCCTCCAATGGGATACACCCAGGTGCCCCCAAAGCCCCATCCAGCCCCCCTCAATGCACCCTCAGTTCTGCTCCCAATGACCCCCAGCTCACGGGGGTTCCTCTGAGGGGAGCACTTGGCTCAGGATCGCCCATCACTTTTCAGCCTCCCTCCTTGGCAAAACAGTGCGAGCAGGTTGAGATGGGGCCTTCTCCCTGTCTGCGCCCGCGTCTCAGGATCAGGCCTGGCGGGGGGGGTTGTGTCCCTGTCAGTGACTCTGCGCCAGCGTCTCAGGATCAGGCCCGGCGGGGGCTCTCCCTGCATCTCACCGTGGCTGCCTCGGGGCTCGGGTCCCGCTGATGGAGCATCAGAGCGGCCCAGCTGCTCCTCACTTCCCCTGCGAAGAGCTGCCGGTGCTTCTGCTGGGCCGAGCCGGCCAGGGCCCCGAACAGGCCAAATGCTGCCGCGCGCACGGCGCTGTCCTCCTGCCGCAGGGAGCAGAGGGCAGGGTCAGTGGCACGCCCGAGAGCGGCTGGGCAATGGCAGCCCCAGGGGAGGGGCAGCGAGCACCCACTGCTCCCAGGTCCTGTGCCTGGAGAGCTGGAGCTGGCCGGGGGAACCGGGCAATGGGGGTGTCCCTGCGACCCAGTTCCGAGCCCCTGCTCTGGGGGTGCAGGGGGAGAGCTCTGTCCGTGCCCCGGGGTGACTCACGTGTGGGAAGTGAGCCCGGGCCTGCGCGGCCATGGGCTGGGAGAGGCGGCCCACGTCGCTCTCGCTCAACTGCCCCAGCGTCTTGGTCAGGGCCCGCATGCTCTCGCCCACGACCTGGGGGCTGCTGGGCTCAGCCAGGGGGCGGCGCAGGGTGTCCAGCAGGAGCTGCCTGTGCGTCTTCACCTGATGGGACCCAACTATCAGACACGCGCCAGTGCCCCCCGGGGCCGGGAGAGTGGGGGGCAGAATGTGATGGGAAGGGGGCAGCTGGAGGGCCAGGTGAGTGGGGGGGCTGTGCGGTGGGGAGGGGCCGGCTGGGGGGGCTGGGTGAGTTGGGAGTGCAGTCGGAGGGGTCGGCTGGGGGACCGGGTGAGTGGGGGCTGTGCGGTGGAGAGGGGAGGGGAGGGGCCGGCTGGAGGGGCTGGGTGAGTTGGGGGTGCAGTCAGGAGAGGTCAGCTGGGGGGCCGGGTGAGTGGAGGGTGATATGTGATGGGGAGGGGTCAGCTGGGGGGCTGGGTGAGTTGGGGTGAT